CTTGTGACGTAAATGAGCTAACGGTAGGCCGAAAATAGGCCCATGGCACTTAACGTAGTTTTTGAAGATAGTCCCAAAATAGGCACAAAGAATGTTAAACACCCAATTTTATGTTAACGCCCCCAAAATCTACCTGATTCAAGATCAATAATTTACCGCCTGTCAATCATTAAAAAAACAATAGCTTCTGATTTGATTGACAGGTCAGCTACCAGTGCTTCTTGATAATCTGAGTTTGCATGTTTTGAGAACAATTACCTGGTCACGCGCCAAACGCTTTCATGTACCCGCATAGTATACACGCGGGTTAGAATATGTTTGAATTTTATTTATTTAAAAAAAATAATTGAAAGTAGATTATTAAAACATTGACATAATAAAATATTTCTTTTTTATCTTCACTGCTGTTTGTTTCTTGTAAGTGTTATATCGTCCACGTTATCTGTAGAAAAAAAGACCGCGTCCACAGAAACTGGCTCTATTTGCCGTAATTATAGAAGTCCACCGATTTAAATTATTTTTTAAGAAATGAGATATAAGAAAAATATTCAGCACTAATAAACGGCATAGCAAAGTTTTTAAAAGATGTTTTATTTTGTAGTATGGCTACAATCCGCACGATGTTGTACAGAAATTGATGTCAGAATTAATGCTCGAATTTCTTCTAGCGTCTGTATATATACGTAATGAAAATGTGAAGATAGTTAATAGTGATCAATTCTGAAAAGAAATCTTTCTAACAATAAAATTTTGTAAACACACGAAGAATAAAAAATATGGAATATTTTGGACAACATTATTGGCCATAAAAAAAAAAACATTCCGATCGTGGTAAATGCATGTTCGCATGCACGACGAATAGGTGGATTCATAATTTTTTTATTTCAATATTCAGACTTTTTTAATCAAGCGATTTCTTTTATTGAAGATTAAAATAGATAATTGTTATTGATTTGTAGTTTTTACTCGTGATTTTTTTCTTTTATGTAAGAAAAACATTTTCTAAAACGATATAACCGATATTATTATTATTAATTTTTTTGCCTTCAAAACATTACCATGATAACGATGAATGCGTTTAGTTTACAAATAAATTTCATATATTAAAATAATTATTTTACGTAGTTTCACTCAAAACCAGACACAAAACACATAATGTTGATCCAGATTACCAAACACAGACTTCCTGTGTAATGCTACGCATACCCAGATTTTTGACATCTTGGGTATTGGGGGTCTCCAAGTAAATAACACCACTGTTACTTTGACCACTCCTCCTCCTCAGGTAACCGTACGGTAAAAAAATTGGGTCTTTAACTAGCATATCTATTTCAAGAATGATTTCCGCTATTAAAAAATGGATATAAAAACTTAAAAAAAAATCATAGAAAAGCATTCTGGAGTTATAATCATTATAAAAGCAATAACCTTGATCTATGACGTCACAACTGCATCAAAACAAAAATTTAGAGAACGTGTTGACGGCGCTGCTTGTATCCAGATAACTGTGTTTGAGAGGGAAATACTTTATAAAATGTTTGTGATTTATTAGAGAAAAGGAGCATTGATCAAGTGTACTGACTTTAAAGCCGTATGTTTTTCTTTACTGAAGACAAGAAGCCGCGTCCTTATGTAAGTCAGGATTTCCATCTGATATTCTTGAAAAGAATCAAAGAATGCAAATATAAGTAATAAACAACGATTATTCAGTGAACATGGCATTATGAATAGCAATAGCTTTGCTGGCTTATTTTCCATGATATGCCAGCACAGCAATTTCAATCAAATTGCGTCATTATTTTCCATTAAAATTCTGGAAGAAAATGGTCATATCAACCTGATCATGATTACCCCTTACACTGTAATACATTGAATTTACGCGTCTTGTTAAAAAAAAAATCTATGATATATTAAAAGTTAAACCGGTATGTAATAAATAAAGTCAATACGGAACAAATAAAAAGAAATATTGATTAGAATTAAAATTTCGGAATCCAATTAAAGCAAAAACAAACATTTGAACTTATCAGCTTTGGTTATCTTTTCAATATCTATTCAAAATGTTTAATTATTAGGTGCTTTTAGTTGAGTAGCAGCATGTAAAATCTGCATTTATGAAACTTACGAAAAATACATCGAACACAAGAAAAAAACGAAACAGGAAATAAATTTTAATTTGTTCATACGCAACAAAATAAAATAAATAAACTTGACAATATTAAATCACGGAATCAAACAATCAGTCAATCAATCTAAAGCCTCAAGAGTTACTGGTAATCTATAAACTCAGAACGTTTTCTCAAGGTTTGGCTTGCACGTACTTGTTATTATGACGTCATTTACCTAAAATGACGTTGATTCTACTCGTTGCTGCTAAATGGACGAGTAGTATCTCAATATACCGAATTTATTTAAACAATAAAACGCGTAAGCGGGTTATGTTAATTTTTTCCGCAATAGCTGCGACCGATAATTCCAGTAATAACAAAGAAAGACATTTTATTGTTCATATTTATATCTGTATAAATAGGATTAAAAAGTAATTATTGTATTAATGATGCAAACTTCTTTAAACGTTTCATTGATGGAACAGCCACTGATCAAGAAATCTGTACAGGCGACATGCCTAATGTAGTTCATGCAGTGACTAACGCAATGGGTTTTCTTAAGAAATAAAGGAGAAAATATTCAGTGGATGTACATATAATAGTATGAAATATACCTTTGAAATGCAATCATGTTCACTGAGCATATTCAATAGTAATAATACCGGCATTATAAGTAACAACATTTATCTCAAAAATTTATGGCGTCATCGCTGGTATGAAATTCACTTTGTTTATCGATATATTTGCCTGAAATTTTTATGATATTCTACAAATAAGCCATAAAATCTTTAATGTTATGCAATAAAAAGATGCAAAACTTCAATAATTATTTACGTTGAATAGAAGTAAAAGGAATACAAAGTCACAATTCATTTCAATAAAATCGGCCCAAAATCGGCCCCATGGCACTCTACGCAAGTGTGTGATCGGCCCAAAATTGGCCCTGTGGCACAGAAGTGGTTAAAAATGATACCTTATTTCTTAAAACATTTAATTAAAGATTACTTCCATTTATACTTTTTGGAGTTTTTATCAATAGTGAGAAAAATGGTGGCTGTTGAAAGAGAGACTTCAGTAAAAAAAAAATTAAAATATAAATATTCGATTCAATTATGGATCCATGACTTTTTTCAAAGAGGGTGGTGTGGTGTAGGGGAGCTATGATCTAATTATAATATTTCCTGGATTTACAATGTATTTTGCATTTTGTATTTTTATGCTTTACTTTGTCGTGAATATTTACGAAGGTAGTTTTGACAAACTGAAATGTTATCATCTACACAACATTGTTTTCGCCTTTGCTTATCTTAGTTGATGAAACAAGAATATTAACAGTGTCAGTTTAAGTCATCATTTCGTAAATTCTAGGGTTGATACAATGACCTTGTCAGCAAATACAATTTATCATTGAGACAAATGCTGACTGATTTTTTTTTTCATATTAAGTGTTAGCCCATTATTTATACTGAACTGACGACGGATTTTTCCGTTATTTCCCGATCATGACAAGGAGCACACGGCGGATGTGACCGATCAGCAGGGGATGCTCACTCCTCCATGGCACCTGATCCCACCTCTGATGTTTCGGAGGTCCGTGTTTGCTCTGCTTCTATTTTGCATTGTTTTATGGACTTTGAAATTGAATACTCTTCGTTATCTCCATATCCTTCTCGAATGCAGACTTAACATAAATGATTTATGCTATTGAATGAATAGATATTTCATCGTTTAAGCGATCGTTAGGAGTAGTTCCATATGTATCTATTGAGGAACACTAGTATTTATATACAGACTCTATCTAATTTGACACTATCATGGATATGTTAGCACTTTCAGTTTTAGTTTTAACACGTCTTTATATCATTGTTAATTTTTCATTGATTTAAACATATTTCATTGATTACATACAATATATACTAACTTAGATTGTCCTTTCAATTGATTCACAAGAAAATGATATAAAAAGCATTATAAAAAACTGAAGGTTGATATTGAAATTTCCTATTCTTGTTGATAGATTAAATTATTTGAATTACTAGTATCGTTAATTAAACATAGATTATCACAAAGAGAACATATGCTGTTTTCAAATATCTTTTAAGGACAGATGATACAAACAAATTTTTTCTTTGAAAAGCATTCAATATCATGTCACAAGCTTAGAAAATTGGATGGTTCTTAGAATTTTTTCTCCAAAGAACTGGAAAATGAAATAGACTTGGAAAATATTAGTAATATTTCAATGAAAAAAAACAAATATAGACAAATCACATTCAGTAAAGGTTTACAGGTGAAAACAAATTTCAGAATATGTTAACATGGTGCTAAAAGTGTAATATAAACCAAAGAAAAATATACCGAGCCAGGTGAATTTTAAGAGGAAGGTGAAAATGACAAAAAATTAACATTATCACATAGGCTGATTTTTACCATTTAGCTTTTCCTGATAAAATTCACCTGGCTTGGTATATTTTTCTTAAGTTTATATTACACATTTAGCACCATGGTAACATATTCTGAAATTTGTTTTCACCTGTAAACCTGTACTGAATGTGATTTGTCTAAATTTGTTGTTTCATTGAAATGTTACTAATATTTTCCAAGTCTCTTTCATATTCCAGTTCTTAGGAGAAAAAATTCTAAGAACCATCCATATTTCTAAACATTTGACATGATATTAAATCTTTTTCAAAGAAAAAAATTGTTTGTATCATCTGTCCTTAAAAGACTAAGGGTGGGTTATATGATACATGCAATCATGATTTAGCAACATCAAGCTTAACATGTTTATTTTAAATCTATTAATGATGCGTCTATTTTTTTTATTTATGTTTATTTAAATGCTCCATAAATTGCACGTTTGTATATAATTCATTAAATACTCTGTTACAGGTGATAGTTTGACTAATTCTCACAATGGAATGGCATTTTCAACAAAGGACCAGGATAACGACAAGGATAGTGGTGGTAACTGTGCTACATCCTGGCACGGAGCCTGGTGGTACAACAGCTGTTACAACTCAAACCTGAACGGACGGTACGGACAATCTGGTGATTCTGGTGGAAAATACACTACCTGGTGGCACTGGAAAAATAAATATGAAGCATTAAAACAGACTCAGATGATGATCAGACACAAAAAGCGAATCAGATTGTGATCAAATATAACGATTGCTATTATTGTTATTTTGTCTGTTTATAGTAAATGTATCAGCAACACGTTTTTATAACATATTTTTTTTGGTTCAAGGAGTTCTTTCTTTATATATATATATTTATATATATATATATATATATATATATATATATATATATATATATATATATATATATATATATATATATATATATATATATATATATAGATAGATAGATAGATAGATAGATAGATAGATAGATAGATAGATAGATAGATAGATATATCAAGATAGAAGGCTTATATCCTAGTACCACATAAGGTAGTACGTTACATCCGCATCACATGTAGATTCGAACAAATCCGGCGGTCGAAAATCAACCCATCCGTTATCTTTTATTCACAATCCATATTATCGAGACCAACGCGTTTTGGTGTATGATACGGATTTAAATTCACAAATTTGTGAACCCTATGTCCCCGAAGAATACTTTAATGCTGTAGAGGTCATTACCGTAGGACTCTGGATTCCAGGTCAATCTTTCGTCTGGTAACTGTGCTATTTAAATCACGGAGCTTGTTGGTACAACGCCTGTCACTACTCTAATCTTAACGGGCTGTATGTACAGTCAGCTGTGACTGGTAGTAAATATCCGGTATGGTATTACTGGAAAGGTTTGAAAGCATTTAAACAGACTGTGATGAAGATAAGACAAAAGAACTGAATCAGATTTTGATCAGATACATGTATAACAATTACTGCAGCTTTTTTTTAAAGTTAGAATATATAGAAACATCTGACATCGCAAACACTGCTTACGTTAAACAGATCTCCGTTCATTTAATAATTCAAAATCAAGCCTTGAAGCGTATTATTTATATTTCCAGTGTAAGTAACATACTGAGGTGTATAATGTAAATAAAACATATGGAGATAACGAACAGTATTTAAGATCAAAAGTCAAATCACTGTTAAATGAAGGCAAGTTCTGGGCATTGATTACAAATTGAACTTACTTGAAATATCATTCTTTGCATGGATAATCATGCACGTGTAAAAGTACATGCATATGTAAATGATTGCCTTGCCCTTTGTGTTCTCAAATGAGACGATGTATTAATCCATTAAAGCATTGAAGGATTTCTAGAAACAGAAATTACGATGGCAAACATGTGATACATTTATATCAGGGCAAACGATAGCTGCAGTATTGTATTTTAGTCTTTCACCGTAACGCTACAGATCCCTCAATGAAAAAATGTGCAATTTAAAGTGTGACTTTTTGCACAAAAATGGTGGAAAGTTCTCTAATTTCTAGCATTTGGGTATCAATTACCTTTTAGTCAACAAATTTAGAAAAATTCTTTAACCGATCTGCATATTTTATTTACCTCTCTGGAACCCTTCATACTTGTCTCTACAGACCAATAAACTCAGTTGTTTTGATAGTTGTCGGATGACAAAAAGTTTTAAACAAGCAAGGTTATTTAGTGGTCTTTATAGACACCTCTAAAAGGTTGGGAGGTCGATAAATTACTCACGCTGGATGAAAAATGCGTCTAGAATTAGGTAGTGAAAGGTTACTGACTGACCATTGCTGGAAAGTGGAAAAATTCGCACCAACAGAGCGCAGAAAACCTTGCGCCCTAAATTGCACAATGTTTCCATTCCTGATCTGTAGCCTTATGGTCCAAGACTAAAAAAGGTATAACCGTAACACTACAGTTCTGCTGCTTTGCAGAGATGAATAGCTTAAAAAAATACAATTTCAACTTCTACTTGAAATTCTTTTGATTAAACAATAAGAGTAATTAAAAACATTGCACACGTCACACTAGGATTTAACCAAAAACACAGCCTTCATCATATCCTCTAAGCGGAAAAACCAAACAAATGAACAAAAATTAACATACAAACAAAGAAGAGGGAAAAAATCTAATGTCTCTATTGTACTCATTTCCCTTAATACATTTATAACCTGAGGTAAATCATTACGTTTTATACAAAAAAATAATTTTAAAGGGATTCAATTGAGTATCAAATGTACTGTTGAATACATAGTCTATGCTCCTCATGTAAATATTTCATATAATATAAATCAAATACCAGACTGAAATTTCAGATTAAAATTTGTGTGAAAAGAAATGTTTCTGGATAAAATCAATAAATTGGGAAGGGGTGATGGCTAGATTTTTTGGTTCGTAATTTGAACCTATTCAATATTACAGCTTCAATGCATAACGATTCGATGGCTTCAAAATTGTAGATGCCAGAACTTATGAAATGAACTTCAATTTCATAAGTATGAAATATAAGTACTACTGCCACTTGCTCTACTTTCACATTCTCAGTATGGCGTATAATTAACATGTTAGAATAATGATAAAAGTTTGAGCAGGAGGAATAGTCATAGCATGTTATGAATGTGGGTGGTAGTAATACATTACATGAATTGCAATAAGTTGTCATGAAAAAGTCAAAATAATCTGGATTGGAAATGGTTATAGCTTCACATGTCTCAAAGAACTGGGTGTTATATGCAAGTTTTCTAGTATAGCTGCCTTGAAGCAAGCCCCTTTTGTCATCCCAACTCCATGGAACCGGACATAACCGAACTACTAACTACCCCTGTTTTACTAGTTAGTAGTTTACAATTTAGGGAATATTTACTTATTTCTTTGTATACTCACACTCAAAAGAAGCGCAACACCCTTATTTTAGGGTGAAAATTATATACGGGATATAGCTATGTACCAAAAAAAGTTAAGACATCTTTAACTTTACCAAATCAGTTATTTAACGGTTGAATGATTTTCATTCAGTCACTGGAACTTAACTTTTAACCCTTTTAACAGAAATCAAAAATTAGCATTTCTAATAAAATCATTGAAAATATTTTGGGTTTACAAGGCTTAATACATGTTTATCATTAGTATTGTACTAAAATTCTGGGGAAAGATCCTTCTTTCTTTTTCCGGTTGCGATGCCTATATTTCCTCAAAATGAGTGAAAGCACGCATGCTTGAAATTCTCAAAATAAAGAAAAAGGTGAGCTGCTGATGCAAATATAACGACTTTTCGAGCTCATGTGTTTCAAATGCATGAATGACAGTTTCTTGACCGGAAGTCCAAGGGTTACTACACTACGCCAAATTAGAGAAAATTCTAGCTTAGTATCAGGCATTTAAAAATGTCTAAGAATATTAGTTTCTCTCAGCTTAAGACATTGATAAACCTAATGCATAGTAGAAATCGGGTTGCATTCGTTGTACATAGCGGACTAGCATGCTTTAATTGAATGGTCTGAAGATGGATATTTTAAGAGACTCGTGTTGCTTTTTAAGTTTTGAAGATAACATTAAAAATGAATATTAAACCTAAGAAAGTAACACTATCCTTTTTTGGTACATAGCTATATTCCGAATATAATGTTCACTCTAAAATTAGTGTGCTTCGTTTCTTTTGAGAATTAGTATATAATCATAAACTGTCATTAAATCAACTATTGACGAGCTCTACTATCAATCCACAAATTTCTTAATGCTTTAAAATTCCAATCGATCTTTTTCTGTTTAATTTGATAATACCATTAACACTCACACTACAGACCCTTAATACTACATACAAATTTTTCAAGCTTCTCAAAAAAATTAAAATATTTTAATAAATATTTGTACATAATTAAGAACGAGTACATACTTATATCATAATTGAAGATCTTGTAAGTTTTGAAAGAATTTTATATAAAATCCAACATATTTCGTTGATAACTTCGTTAAAAGTTTTCATTTTCTCACCTAGCATATAATGTCACCGGAGTATAGTACCGAAATCCGATTCACATATTGTGGCGCCGTATTTTGAATTTCAACTCTGAATTTCACTAAAAATATGCTAACAACAACATTTATTGTATTAAGCATCTTAATAAAGCAACAGGTTATAAATGATATTTTTCGTAAAATTACTTTTCTTTCGATCATGCAACAAGTTTTATGACTTCATATGATGATTTCCACTAAGTTAAGCTTTTTTTTAAATAGTGATAAAAACATACAAATAAATTCACAAATTACTTTTTAAAAATGGAATCACCAAGATTTTTAAAGTGAGGCTATCCAATAATCTTACAGGTGACATTTAGCAGTGGGCATCCTCTGTTGATCGGTCACATCCGCCCTGTGATCCTTGGCAAGATCTGGAAAACGGAAGAATACGTAAACAAATCAAACACAGCTGTACAATTTCTTTTAAGAATATAAGTTAACAATCAGCTTATTGAATATTTAATACAGAGAGATGAAAAAAGTAACGTTTTATTAACACCACTTAAAATTAAAAAATATGAGGTGTATATGAAAATGATATTTTGTGTCATACCTATTAAAATCATATTAGAAAACATGATGAAGTACTGCTTCATATATCAGAATATCATAATGTTCAGTTATATAGTTTTGTAAAAAAAAAAAAAAAAAAGAAAAAACCCTCATCAGTTAGCAAGTGCGATCTTTCTTCTAAATATCATTTTCATAAAAAATTGTAATACTAATAAAAAAAATCTGTATTTGGTACTTGACAAATTAATTAAAGCATTTGAAAATAGTTCTTAAAATGATAGCACTTTTTCGATTTTTAATTGGCCTTTAAGGACCCTCTCTACACCAATGCAAAATGTTTTTTGACATTGAGAAAAATATGTTCTACAGCTCAGCGCACTTTTTAAGCTCACATGGTTTTTTTGCAACCAGAAGTCTCTGTCGAGACTGTAGCTCTACTGGTTTGTACTGATCAAAAACCGATGCACAGAATTATGTATCTTAGTGTAGTCTACTGGTGTGATAAGTTATATTGAAATCAGACCAAAACTGTAGAAGGAGTAGCATTTTAAAGGAATTCCACAGAAAATTCTAATTTAGTAACCATGGCAACACCATTCATTGAAATAAAAAATCGATGCACTATTATATGTAAATTAGTGTAGTTTACTTGTGTGCCAAGTGATAATGAATCAAACCAAAACTGTAGAAGGAGTAGCGTTTTAAAGGAATTTCTCATAAAATTCTATTTTTAGTAACTA